AGCACATTTGCTCTGCTTCATACAGAGATACAGACACATACACTACAGCACTTTCTATTCATGAAGGCTAGTTGTGTCAGCTGGTCTTGCTCAAATGTCACTTCTTTACCTCATCAGAGAGTACTTTCTGGCCACCCATGCCTGATATCACCTCTTTTCCATCATTAATCCATAACTCTAAAAAGTTATTTTTTATGTATGTTTTACCTGCATGTGTATGTAAGTACACCCATGTCATACAACTTTACAAGAGGGTGTTAGATTAATCAGAACTGGAGTTATGGACAGCTACCATGTCAGTGCTGGAAATGGAGCCTGGGTCTTCTTCAAGAGCAGCCAGTGCTCTTAACTGCTGAGCCATCTCTCCAGCCCCAACACCCCACTTTTTATGTGGGTCACTGGAGATCTGAACTCAAGTCCTCATTCTTGGGGTGGAAGTATTTTACCAACTGAGCCATCACCCCATCCCTTTTGTTTGTTTTTTGTTTGTTTTTAAGACATGAGTTCTGTAAGGCTGACTTGACTCTCATAGCAATGCTTTTGCTTCAGCCTCCCAAGTGCTGGGATTACAGGCATTTGCCAACACATAGTTAAAACTTACATATAAAATCCATGCAACTGAAAGTCCAGTTTTTGCCCCTGCCCCATTGTGTTGGGAGTTTTGAGGTATGTAGAAAAAGGAGCTACATTTTCCCAGAATTCTCTTCTCCAGGCCAATCTGCATTTGCTTAGGTCACAACACAAATTCCACATGAGGTTTAGAAAGGAAAAGTAAACCAGCAGTCATGGGGTTTGTTCTTTGAAGGTCACATTAGGTGCAAGGCTCTAGGGCAGTGCTTGCAGCATGCTGGCCTTGCTGGCATGAGGTACCACCCAGACTTGTATCTCCTCCAGCCCTCAAATCTCCTTCCCTAGCTCCTCTGAGGCAAGCGTGTGTGGCTATGGTGAAAGGTGTCAGGTTCTTCTGTAAGCTACCCCAGGGGAACTGAAGTCAGAGGAGGTAAGAAACAGCCATGGTTTCCCCACCTCCTCATGATGACTCCCTACCTCCCACTTCCACAGGTCCAGGGTGTGTCTGCTCCCACATACATTCACCTTTGCTTCCTGACTGCTGGTCTAACTGCCCAGTAGAGGCTGATACTGTGCTGAAGACAGAGAAACAGCTGTGCATACCAACTTCCTACATCCCTACAATTAAGTAAGGTCTGAATCTGCCACCAGTTCCTTATTCTTGTTACTCATAAGTGTCCCACTTCCCCAATCAAATTTTAATAGATAAACCAGATAACAGAAAACCACTCTTACTAGTTGCTGAACTTATTCTAACCCCCTTTGTAAAAAAGATTGGGGTGGGGGGGGCTGGAGAGATGGCTCAGTGGTTGAGAGCACTGACTGCTCTTGCTGAGGACCCAGGTTCGATTCCCAGCACCCACATGGCAGCTATGAACTGTCCTTAACTCCAGTTCCAGGGGAATCCGAAACCCTCTTCTGACCTCTGCAGCACTGCACAACATGGGTGCGCTCACATGCATGCAGGCAATATACTTGTACACATAAAATAAAAATAATAAATATATATATATATAAGATTTTGGGGGGGTATTTTTGAGACAGGGTTGTTCTTTTTTTTTTTTTTTTTTTTTTTGAGACAGGGTCTCCCTGTAGCCCTAGCTACAGAACTCACTAGTAGACCAGGCTGGCCTTGAACTCACAGAGATCTGCCTGCCTCTGCCTTCCAAGTGCTAGGATTAAAGGTGAGTGCCACAGGTACCCACAAGGGGCCCCAAACCCATCTACTCCATCTCTGTCTCTGTTCAAACAATCTGCCACCTCCACATCTCACTGGGATTTTCCAGTTCCGTGTTTCTAAAACTGAACTCACTCTTAGTTGCCTACTGCTTGCTGCTTCTGGGCTCCAATCACTCTCTCTGGCCTTTTTAGCTCATCCAATGACACTCCAGAGAGCATGAGACCCATAACCGTTGACAAACTTCTTTCTCTCTCTCCTTCCTTCTATTCTTTGCAGTACTGAGGATAGGACCTAGGGCCTGGCATAGGCATCAATCAATGTCATAGTCTCTACTTGTCTCTCCCTATCAAACGCCTCACTTGACTCTGGCTTAGGCCTCCTATCCTTTCACTGGGTCCCTGAGTTTCCAGCCTCATCTCTTGCAAGACATTAAGTCACTAGAGAAAAAAAAAAAAAACAAAACTTTTGAGACATAGTTTCACGTTGTAGCATGTTGTAGTTCAGGCTGGCCTTGAATTCAAGGTAATATTCTTGCTTCAGCTTCCCAAATGCTAGATTACAAACATGAACCACTATATCCTGAGAGATTATTCTCATTCTCATTCATTCTCTCTCTCTCTCTCTTTCTCCTCTGTGATGCTAGGGATGGAAACCATGTCCTCAGCAATTTCAGGAAAGGCGGCTGTACCACTGAGCCGCACCCAACCTGTACTAGACTTATAAAGCAGCTGAGATATTGTCACTTTTTTAAAAAAAAGAATTATGAGCAGGCTGGGCATGGTGGTGCATGCCTTTAATCCCAGCACTTGGGAGGCAGAGGCAGGCGGATCTCTGAGTTCAAGGCCAGCCTGGTCTACATAGTGAGTTCTAGGACAGCTGGGGCTACAGGGAGCCTGTCTCAAAAAGACCAAAATAAATAAATAAATAAATAAATAAAATAAAAACAATTATGAGCTATGGTACCAATGGTACCACCTCAACCTGTTCTCGGAAAGACTTTTATACAGTTCTCTACTTCTGGTGTGTAGGTCCTAGCCTGGTTGCCTACTGCTACTTACTTAACCAGGCAGCTGCTGTGGCTTGGCTTAAGCTTGAATGAATTCCCCTGTAATTCATGTGTTGGAGGTTCTGGTCTCAGCTTGGAGATGCTGGGAGATGACAGAACCTTTGAGAGGTTGGCTTAGCACAAAGAGATCCATTCATACTGGTCTTGCAGAACGAATTGGTAGTCCCTTAGAGAGTGAATTAGAAGAGTTATTAGAAAAGTGCAGTGACAGAGCCTATAGTCCTAGCATCCTGAAGGCTGCAAGAGAGCTGGAGTTCAGGAATTTTAGGTCAGTGAGATCCAGTCTCAAAAAAAGAAATAGGGAGTAGGGCTGGCCCTCTGCTCTTGGGAGGGTACTTGGTACTAGTGAGATCTGTGTTTGGTCTGTCTTTTTGTACCTCTTTTATCCACTGATTTTTATTTCTTATTTTTTTTGAGATAGGGTCTCCCTGTAACCCCAGCTGGCCTGGAACTCACTATGTACACCAGGCTGCCTTGAACTCACAGAGATCCACCTGCCTCTGCCTACTGATTCCTGGGATTAAAGGCATGTGCCGCCATGCCAGGCCTGATTTTTCTTATTTTTAGTTTATGTGTATGAATGTATTGCATATATACATATATATGTTCACTGTATTGCACAATGCCCATGGAGGTCAGAAGATGGCTTTGGATCCCCTGTAACAGGAATTATGGATGGTTGTTAGCTACAATGTGGGTCCTGGGAATCCAATCCAGGTCCTCTGTAAGAGCAGCCAGTGCTCTCAACCACTGATCCATTTCTCCAGTCCCCTGATTTTTATTTTTTAATTTTATTTTTTTAAGTTTTTAAAAATTATTTTTATGTCTATGTGTGTATTGCCTGCATGTAGGTAAGTGCACCCATGTTGTGCAATGCCCTCAGAGGACAGAAGAGGCTGTCGGATCCCCTGGGGCTAGAGTTATGGTCAGTTGTTAGCTGCCACGTGGGTGCTGGGATTCAAACCCAGGTCTTCTGCAAGAACTGCCAGTGTTCTTAACTGCTGAGCCATCTCTCCAGCCCCAGAATTTTATTAAATTTTTTTTTTTTTTAATTTTTTTGAGACAGGGTCTCTCTGTAGCCCCAGCTGGCCTGGAACTCACTGTGTAGACCAGGTTGGCCTTGAACTCACAGAGATCTGCCTGCCTCTGCCTCACGAGTGCTGGGATTAAAGGAGTGTGCCACCACACCAGGCTATTTATTATTTTTATTTTATGTGCGTGAGTGTATTGCCTGCATGTGTAAGTAAGTGCACCTGTGTCTTATGATGCCTGTGGAGGTCAGAAGAGGGCGTCAGATCCTCTGGACCTGGAGTCATAGATGGTTGTCTGGAACCAGAATTAAAGATGGCTGTTAGTCGCCATGTGGTGCCGGGAACCGAACCCCAGGAACCCCAGTACCCTGCAAGAGCAGCCAGTGATCTTAACCACTGAGCCCTCTCTTCAGCCCAACACACTGATTTTTAAACACAATCTATCCATCCTTCCACCTTCTTGCCTCTAACTCTGAACTGGGTTCCAAGCCTGACACCACAACCAGCCTTTACTGCTTATTTATCTTTTATTTCTTTTGAGACAAGGTCTCACTGTGTAGCCCTGGCTGGCTTACAACTGGGTAGTAGACCAGGTTGGCCTTGAACTCGCAGAGATCAGCTTGCCTCTGCCTCCCAGGTACTGGAATTAAAGGCACGTGTCACCATGCCCTGTATGTCCCTATCTTCAGTTCGAAAGCTCTGGCTCTTTTTTCGTTTTCCTGGGTCATCTGCTTGGCCCCGTTGTTTAGCAGTGTTTAGTCCACCTCCCGGTGTCCATCACCCACGACACTAACCATTTCCATCCACCTTTCCGGCCGCACCCCACGCAATCAGAAGACCCTGAATCCCACCCTGTCTGCCATATGGTTGACTGAACAGCGCCTTCTGGAGAGGGGCACTCTCAGAAAGGCCAGTTGACCCTCGTCCTCGCTCTTTCAGGGTTCTTTATGCGGAGATTACAGAAGACGACAGAAGATTTGGATTTTGACCCAACATGGCGCCGTCCGGCTCCCGCCTCCCTCCGGAGCCTTAAAGATGGTGGCCTCTACCTGGGGGCGCCCATGTTTGTCCACTGAGCCGATGGCCGGAACGTGACACATGGTGGAGGTGGGGCTCCGCCCCCAACCCCGACGTGCGTGTCTCGTGACAGGTACTTCCGCTCGGGGCGGCGGCGGTGGCGGAAGTGGGAGCGGGGCCGGAGCTTTGGCCATAAAGCCCGAGGCGGCGGCATTGGCGGCGGTCTGCGGCTGGGCAGCACCGAGGAGCCCGCTGGAGCCGGAGTCCGACCTCTCTGCCGCGTCCTGCGTTGCGTCTCCTCCTCGGTGGACCTCGCGGTGAGCGGCAGGCCGGGGCGGCCCTTCCCCCGCTGTGGTCCGGACCGCGGGGCCTGGCGGGCGGCCGGGTCGGGGCTGGCGGGGCGGCGCCCAGCGGGCGGAGGTCGGAGGGCGCGGGGTGAGCCAGAGGGCGGAGGTCCTGCGGGTGGGAGAGGCGCGGAACGGCCACTGAGGACGGGCTGCCATTGAGGCAGGGCTGCCAGGCGCGTCACGTGCCCTGGCCCTCTGCGGACACTGGAGCTTGTCAGGATTATGCCTTGTAAATCCTGTTTCCGAAGTTCTGGAGGAAGGACGGCGGCTGACTGTGAGACCTCCTGCGTGTCTTTCAAATGGCCTGCTTAACCTTATAGCTCATAATCGTGGGGATGTTGAGAATAACATTGCGAAGGTTTGAGATTTATCCTTTGCTGGGCTGCGTGACAAGACTACACAGATTGCCCAATCCTCCCACCAATCCTCTGAAACACCGTGGCTGTGCCCACTTACAGAGAAATAGAAGAACAGAGAGGTTAAGTTACTCGTCCAAGGTCACACCACTGATAAGTTACAGAGCAGAGATTCAAGCCCAAGCACTTACTATACTGGCCTTTAGCCTCTTCAGATTCTCCTAAAAGCTTGCCACCTGTTACCTGTCCATCAGCACTTCCCTCCACCTTCTTTCTAGCTAGTGATGTCATTTGAGAGCCTCTTGGTGGCATTTGTTTTACCTTAGAGGTATGTTTCATTTGCAGTTGTGACTTTCAGGGCATATTACTGTAAGTGTAGTGTCACCCAAGGAGAAGCTCTTCAATTCTGGCTTGGCACTTCCTGGGATTTGATTGTTTTCCTATCTGGATCTTTTCTTCTTTGGGTTAGGTCTGGTAGGCCTGCTCAGTGAACCTTCCTGTAAGACTAGATGGGTGCCCAGCTGGTTGAAAATACTATGCCTTTGGATTCCCAAAGAACAGGCTCTTGTCTTTTCCTTGTGATTTCGGCAGCTGATTAGCCGCATGATTTCTCATCTATGGATTAATAAAGTCTCTTGTTAATAAGTTTCTTCAAACTTGAGATGATTGGTTCAGAATTGAGTCTAGGCTGGAAAGTGAGTTATGAGTGCTTCTGAAGACTGACTAGGCTAAAGCCTGGTGTTCACAACCCTGTGGTGTCCCAGGTTGTCTGTTTACTTTGCTACCCAGTCCGATATGCTTAAGTGCTGTAGCCTTATGTAATATGTGAGTTTAGAGGCGAGCAGTGGTGAGCACCTTTCATAGTCAGGAAATGTTTTGCGTATCTTCCATATATGTGTCAAGCATTGCTGGATCCTGACTCAGGAAGGCAGGCATGGGGCCTGTCCTCAAGGAATTGTAAAATGATGAGCCTAACAGCCAGGAACTCTGTTGTGGAAAGACTTGCAGGTAGAACTTGGGGCTTTTGCAAAGAGGAGTTGCTTTTAATCCGTCCAAGTGAGTCACAGATGTCCAAATGTGTGGTGTTCTGGCTAACAACTTGAAACCTTTGTCAGCTGTATGTGTGGTGTATGCACGTGTTGGTGTGGATGTAGGCACCGGTGAGTGCTTGTGTGGGTGTGTGTAAGCTGGAAGTTGATGTTGGATGTTTTCCTCAATTGCTCCACTTGATCTTTTGAAACAGGGTCTCTCACTGAACCAAGAGCTCATCCATTCCATATTCCATTCCTCTAGGCAGGCTGGTCATTGAGCTCCAAAGGAACCCCCCCCCCCCCATGGGGCTCTGAACTAAGTTCCTCATGTTTGTACAGCAGGCACTTGTACTAACTGAGCCATCTCCTCAGGCCCCATCTTTGTCAACTTTAGCAATAGTATTTGTGTGGTTTTCTCTTGAAAGAGAAGATAATGTTACAGTTTATAATTGATGGTCTCTTTTGAAGAGTGACCTTCAACACTTAACTTGTTTCCATTTTTGCGCCCCCCTCCCTCCCCTTCAGAGGGAATCCATGCCACTGTAATGTCTGAGCAAAAGCGCTTTGGGGCTACTGATTTTCTTTTCCAGCTGACAAGAAAGCTTAGTGTAGATCTGCTGTACCTAGTGTCAGTGCATTCTGGATTAAAAACTCCTGTGCCTGTTTCCCATGGCTTTCTGTTTGGAGATTCAGGTTTTACATTGGTGGTAGAACTGCATGAGTAAACAGAAGGGTGGAACAGAAGAGAAGGCACTCTAAAAATAGTTTTATTAGTACAGTCTTCTAGGTAATTATTGGCAACCACATGAGCTGACTTTTGTTTTTCTTTTTTTGGTGTCAGTTGAGCCTCACAATCAGAGGCCATACCCCTATAAGAGAGCAGTCCTTGTGGGAAAGGAGTTGTAAATCCGTTTCTGACTGTACCACCAAGTGAAGCAAGAAAGTTATTTGACTAGCTTTTGTTTTTTGTTTTTTTTGGGTTTTGGGGTTTTTTTTTGGTCTTTTTGAGACAGGATCTCCCTGTAGGCCCAGCTGGCCTGGAACTCACTATGTAGACCAGGCTGGCCTCCAAATTTACAGAGATTGCCTGCATCCACCTCCCAAGTGCTTGACTATCTTCTAATAGGTCTTCAAAGAGATCTATCTGCACAAAAAAATATTTAAAGAAAAAATTTCTAATTTATTTTTTATTTTGTGTGTATGGGTGTATTACCTGCATGTGTGTAAATGCACCTGTGTCCTGCAGTGCCCCCGGAGGTCAGAAGAGGGCATTCGATCACTTGGAACGTGTTAAGGATGATTGTAAGCCACCATGTGGATGCTGGGAATTGAACCTGGGTCCTGTGCAAGAGCAGCCAGTGCTTTTAACTGCTGAGCCTTCTTTCCAGCCCACAAAAAAAAATCTTTTGCCCTACATTTGTCATTAACCTTTCTATGAAAAGATAGTGCAAACAGAGACCTTCTATGGGCCCACAGTCATCTGCATTGTTCCTCTTTGGAGTCTGACATCAGTCTTTTATTTTTTTTCAATGATAAATGATCTCCATCCAAGTCAGCAAATACAGCTGAGCCAGATGACGTTTTTCCTTGGAGAAGTGAGGTGTAGGAGGTGGCCTCCCAACCTGGACTGAACAGCAGCTCCCCCTTGGAGCTGGGGTCCTTTTTGAAGGGTTCTGAAGCCCCCTTACTTGTTGGTTCCTGCTTTCTGCTGCCATTCCAGGTGGGGTGGCCATTGTATTCTCAGTGTGCTGCCAGACATCTATCTGTTCTGTCACTCTGAAATCTGGGTGCTTCACTGGCTGCAGTTGCTGCAGAGACATTTTGCAATGTGCTCTTCTCTTCAGTTACTCCCCCTCCCCATTTTCCCTGCATTCTAGCTCCCACTCTTCAGATGCCATTAAAGACAGAAAGTTATTTGCGTTTGTTTTCAAACTTAAAAAAAAAACTTTACAAATTGTTGTGAACAGCAATTTGTAAATCAAAGGTAAAAATGATATGATGGGTGAAATCAAAACAAGCTTTTGGGAATCTCCCTGACTAGTTTCAATTCTAGTACTCCAGACTGTGATTCCAAAACCAAATTTAAGAATAGCTGCTTGCAAAATGTCTGCTTGGAGGAGGAGGAGGGATTGTGATTTGACTCCAGTGGTGACATGCAGTATTGGTCTTACTCATCTGCTTGAAGGTGCAGTACTTAAGCCAGAGTCTCATCAGGGCTCTCTGTTTTGGTGATGTCATCAGTGCTTTGGAGATCGGCTGTTTGATTCTGTTGTCCATATCCTAGTCTCCTAGGAGTGCCGGCGCTGGCACAGAGCAGATCTGAGGCAGCCTGAGGACCTGAGTAGTCTGTAGGGATTGCACAGCCTGGCTTGATTCTCAGCCAGCCTTGCTAATGGTGCTGCCAGGCTGCTCTCCAGCCTTGAAATGAAGATGACTTCTTAGGGACTTAACTTAGTTGACTTCAGGAACTCTTTAATACTTATTTGGGGAGGGAAGGGGAGGTTGAGCAAAGTGAATGATACACGTATATAAAAATGTCATAAGAAAACCCATTATTTTGTCCAATATGAATGTGTGCTGATAAAAAATAAAATACTCGAGATAGTTCACATCGTTTGTTTCTAATCTTTATGTGTCTAATCTTTTTCTTTTTTTTTTCTTTTCTTTTTATATGTTCGTTTTTGAGACAGGGTCTCCTTGTAACCCCAGCAGGCCTGGAACTCACCATGTAGACCAGGCTGGCTGAGATCTCATAGAGCTCTGTCTGCCTCTGTCTCCTGAGTGCAGGGATTAAAGGTGATTTTTTTTTTTTTTTTTTTTTTGGTCTTTTTGAGACACGGTTTCTCTGTAGTCCCAGCTGTCCTGGAACTCACTATGTACAGAGATCCACCTGCCTCTGCCTCCTGAGTGCTGGGACCAAAGGTGTGTGCCACCATACCTGGCCTTTTTTGTTTTTTGAAGTTGATTTCAAATTGATAAGCATTTTGCTCCAGAATATGGTTTATTTGCCATGGTAACATTTGAGTTGAGTGTACAATGACAAAGGTGCTATGAATTTATCTTTTAAAACCCCAGCCATGCTGGGCACTGTGTAATCTCTGCACTCAGGAGGCAGAGGCATTGTGAGTTCAAGGCCAGCCTGGTCTACATAGCAAATTCTAAGCTAGCCAGGACTACATAGTGAGATCCTGTTTCAAAAAAGCAAAACCCAAAACAAGCCCAGCCTGTGCTTTTAAAAAATAGAATTTCGCTCTCCTGTGTTTTGAGATAGGTTCTTATATAGTCCAAGCTGACCTTGAATTGCTAAATTGCCAAGGGTGGCTTTAAATTCCAGGTCGTTCTACAGTCACGTCTTGAGTGCTGGGATTACAGGTGCCCATCACTGTGCCTCTTTGCATGGCAGTTGGCCAGTCTGCCAGTATTCTGCAAGCACTCAAAAAAAGATGATCTGAGATACTTGTAGTAGCTCTAGGTTCTCTTAGCAGTCTCTGGTAGAGCTGGTTCTAAATCCTCTAGGCTGTGTCATTCAGATGATGATTGTGGGAAGAACACTGTTAACTTGTAGAAACCCTTCTAATGTCTT